GAAGCCTCCCCTGACTACCCCACTGTCACGTATATGCACTGGGAGGGCTGGTCTGCATAAAGCTACCAAGTTGACTCTAGGGTACCACCCCCAGAAGGTGGGGAGCAGGAGGGCCATGTGCAAAATTAGGCGAAACAGCCTTCCCCAAGCACTCTCCCTTGGCTTCGGGAGGTCTTAACGGAAATTCTGGCAAAGCAGCCCTCACGATGGACAGAATGTTCCTTCCCTAGAGGTGAACAAGTGGTGGGTGGCGGCGTGTGGCGAGGCCATCGGCCACCAGGCTGGCTGGCTGGCCCTTTTGACCCACATGCAGGCGAAGGCTGCCTGACAGGCATCGCTCAGGTCACTTCCTGAAGGACCCCTTCCCGAGCTCCTCTAGTCACAGCCCGCATGCTGCAGGAGGAGTGAATCTGGAGCCGGAGAAGGCTTCGTGGTGGCCCGGGGGTTCCTCTGGCATTGACAGGGCACTTCTGCGCGGGCTGAAAATGCGTTCCTCATTTCTCGTCCACAGCCCGAGGGAGGAAAGTGTGGGGCTTCGCAACGACCACAGCCACAGCCTGCCAGCCACCGCGGCCCCTCGGCCAGCTGAGCACGGCTCTTTAAAGACACATGAAGGGAGCTGTGGCCCGGGGAGGGGGCTGGCAGCTGGCTTTCCAGGCCCCCCAAGCTCTCGCAACTTTGTCAAGCCTGCACTGCTTCCACGGCTCTGGCTCTGGGGGAATCATGGTGTCCGGGCCTCAGGCAAGTCTTCTGCCCTCCTGGTCATTGCTCCGCCATCCTGCAGTGGGGCCATCACACTGACCCTTGGGTCTTGGCGGTGACCAAATACCAGCTTCTCCTGCTTAACAGGTGCTCCCTAACTGGCTCCTTCACATGTGAGACTCAGCTCAGCCTCACCTCTTCCAGGAAGCTTTCCCACCCCGGTGCTTACTATCCGCACAGGGCGGGGCCTGGAGTGGGCAGGCGTGAGAGGCAGGTGTCTCTTGCCATGTGGGACAAGCAGCAGGAGCGGCTCAGTGTTCTCCCAAGATGCCCGAGCCAGGCAGGAGCAGCCGACAGCAGGCGTGAGAGGCCTGGGAAACGCGCTCTCCCTCTGGCTGACAGAGGGCTGGCATCTCCGGAGCAGCCTGAGTGAGCGCCGCACCACCAGGACAAGTTCAAAACAGCCCGCTGTGGTCACGCAGTCACTCAGCTCAGCTCCGTCCTTCACCCGAGGGAGACAGCCGCGGCCATCCCTGGCAGCGTTTGTGAGGACGGATCGAGAGTGCCAGGGTGAGAATGCTCGGGGATGGCAAGGAGTGGACCGGGGGAACCCACATGCCCAAGGCTGCTTCACGCCTCGGTGCGAGTCCCATGGCAGGACAGCCCCTGGCAGGTAGACGGGCCTGGAGCCGGGTGCCAATGTGGCTGCTCCAGAGGCCAGCGAACTCCAGGGCTCAGGTGAGGAGAGGGAAGGACGCACGGAGTGGGCAAGGACGCCCAGGGAAGAAGAGAGCCCACAGAGCAGGCAGTGGGCGTTAGACGCAGCAGGCCCTTGTCCTGCAGGCCCCAGTCCTCCATGGAGAGGCACCGGCACCAGCTGTCCCCAGATGGGGCACCCTGCAAGAATACTGGGGAGTGGAAGAGACCAGGCCCACTCTGTGGGCTGGGCAACAGGCAGGACAGATCTCCCAGGGCCAGGTGGGGCCTCCCCAACTCAGCCCCGCTGGGAATTCCAAAGACCAGGGCACCCGTGACGAAGCGCAGTGAGGGGGAAGCCACTCAGTCCCGGTGGCCTTGTCTGCATTCCATTCCCAGGACGCCCACAGCCTCTCACCCCAGGGCTCTGTTCCAGGGCCCACTGTGCCAAGGCACTGCTGTGAGAAGACTGGCCAGACCCCGGGCTTTCTGGGCCTCAGCTTCCCCACCTACAGGAGGTTGGGAGAGATGATCTCTGAGAGCCGCCAGCTCAACACACCAGGATTTCCCACCTCAGTGGGTGGGGAGCTGAGAAATGGACGCCCCTGGGCTGGGTCTGTGTGGAGCACACAGGCAGGCGGCAGAGGAGGCACTGGGGGTTCCGCTCTGGACTGGGCTAGGTCTGTGTGGAGCACACAGGTGGCAGAGGAGGCCCTGGGGGTTCCCTTCTGGGCTGGGCGCCCCCCAACGACCTGGCTGGGCACCCTAGGAAGGATGGGTGCTGGGAAGTGGAGACGCACACACAGAACACCCCCATGAGAGCCCTCGCAGGTGTGAGGCTGGCCACTGTCTCCCTGTGCACCCATCCTGGCCTCCTCGCTGCACGGGGCGGTTGCTCCCCGCTGGAATGCAAAGCCTTCGGGCAGTAGTTGCGGTGGTATTCACCCAGCGCTGCATTTGTGAGGCCCAGGACGGGTGGTGTTCACCCAGCCCTGCGTCCCTGAGGCCGGCCCGGGCCAGGAAGCACAGATGGGGCCTGGGAAGAACTAAGAAATGGGAAGAAAGAACGCAAGAACCAGAACATTCAGGGACTCGAACTCCTAGGCTCCGCGTCTGGAAGAGCCCCAGGGCTTACCTGCCCCCGCCCCCCCCAGCACAGCTGGCCTGCAGAGTGCTTGCTTAGCTCACCCCCAACCTGTGGGGTGGGACGAACCCTCAACTCTATGCCATTCTGACTGCCCTCATCAACAGGAGGCCAAGGGGTCTCTCCATCAGACTCTCCCACTTTACACTGGGGCAGGGCTCAGGGCAGGCAGTGACCCATACCCCTCCCCCATCCTGGCAAGGGCTCATGTACCATTAATTGTAATTAACTAATTATTCCTG